ACGAAAGCTTATGCTCTAATAAATTTGCTAGTCTCTAAGCAGCCACAAGTACTCCTGTTCTTCTTTCTATCTGAGTATCCATAGTATGTATATATACAGCTCCTGTTATCCTATTGAGAAGCAACTGCAACAAAAAAAGTTGTTTGTGACACTACCTTTCACAATTTAAAAATTACTCAGCCTTTGTGAATACAGGGCTAGATTTTCTTTTACATGTTTTAGAGAAAGATGATGATGGTGTTCAGTAGGCTTATTGAGGGTAACTTTGTGTGGTGACATCCAATGATTTATAGGTTTATGAACCGTTTTAATCCATTTCCTGAATCTCAAAAATCTCTATAATCATCTGCTGCTTGTAAATGCAGAAAAATAGAGATAACAGGAAATGCTGATTTGTCAGTGCAGGAATTCTTATAAAAATTCAGTAGGATCCATTGTTCCTGAGAGGCTTTTCTACGGACATTTCCAAAAACTTTTTGTGCTGCTGGTTTCCTGGCAGAAGGATTCAAGTGTTTATGTCAGTCTTCACTGGAAAAAAAGAACAAATTTGTTAATCAAGGAACAAAGGCTAAAGCTTGAACATTTGTACAACTTCTTTCATCAAGGTGGGTTTTTCTCCCCCAATATTACTATTACACAGGTGTAGCATTTGATCATTGAAAGAGGCATACATGATCTATCTCTGGTTGACACACAGGCTTCAAGTAAAGTCTTTAACTCAGAATTAAGATTAGAAGCCCCTTCAAAGAAACTGATTGAACAAAAGCATCTGCCTTTGGCATTTTCATCATGAAACCATTTTGAGTAAATTTTCCCTCAAGTCCTAAATTTATACTGCTGTATTGATCTTTTGGATCTTGAAATAAAAAATGTGATTTTTTTCCCAAAGCCTGTTTGAACTAAATTATTATGAAGGACAAGGAAGGTAAAGCATTTCTCTGACTGTCTCGTTATTCTCCCTGTTGACTTTTGTTTCAGATTCTGAAATTCTAGTATAATCAAAATCTGCCCATCAAGGATTTGAGAGCCCGAAGAAGATTCTCAGTCTCTTGTTTGTTTTCTGTGGTTATTTTTGTTCTTATTGAGACTCTTTGGGGCAAATCTTCAGATGGTGTAAATTATCATAGTGCCATTTGAGTCAATGGAGGTATGATGATTTATGCCAGCTGAGGATCCATCCCTCCATATTTATAAGTTACTGCATAAAAAGAAGCATTATCTCATATGAAGGGTGTTTCATAATAGTGCTATCAAAGCTACTCAGACTACTTTTATTTGTTAAGGCCTTTTGTCTGTGATGGAGATCATTGTTACATTTCCCTAATACCTTTGGGTAACTTGCAGGAAATCAGTGCACTAGGTAATGCAACATATTGTGTTGCTGTAGTGAAAGGAGACTTTTCAATGTGTTTGTTCACATAAGTTACAGTGGCTTCTTTTGTAAACGATAGAAGTGAGAGCGTAGTTTACATCTGGCTGTGTGTCCTTCATACAGTGTACAGTATCACAACTTCCAAGTCATGCAGTGTGTTTGTGTTACATGTTTTGTAACCTTACACATCTAAAAAAAAATGCTGATTATAATGTGGATATTATATGAGTATGGCCTGCTGCTTGGTAAAGGGGGCAAACTGATTGTATTGGGGTTTTGGGGTGGGTTTTTTGTATTTTTAAATAGCTGGTAGGGCATATAAGTACTTTTTATTTATTCTAAATCAAAAATAAATTAAGATAATGTATTACATGAATTTTTGTACCGATATTTTCAGGGTCTTTTAAAAAAATGATTTTAGCAAGTAGATTATTCCCCTATGTCTTCAGGTATTGTGGGTTATTTTGAAACAAAATTTTATGTTACACAATATATTTTTTTGGCATTTTCCATTTTAAAATGTATGGCCAAAAAAGAGAAAAGACAGATTGACTACATTTTGAATAGAGAAGACTGCATAATGCAAATGGTGGTTAGATGTGCAGTGGAAATGTGAGGATAGGCTATTGAAATTACCGTGCTATGTGACAGATGAGTTTATGTAACCTGCATTTATGAATATGTGGTCAATCGTATAGTGGGTATATGGTATTTCCCCATGTCAGTTCCCCCAAGCAACTATAAACTCACCTCAACCCCACCAATATATAGAATAGTTTATAGTGCAAAACATGTTTACATGTATTAATTTTCTTATACTACTTGCTGCATAGTATACTCTCCATCTAATGCATAACAAATCCCAAAACAGGCTCATAAATATGCTTATGTAAATATTTTCTCAAAAGAGTAATGCCCTCAGGTTCATGCAGATCATGATTCATATTTTCACACTGATTTAAAGTCAGATTTTCCACTTTTTTTGTGAGAAAATCCTTTTTAATTATTTACTGTTTATATGGAAAGTATTTTCCACTTCCAGCACTTACATTAAAATTTTAAGCCACTGGTTTATAAAGCTCTCTTATTTGCTGATGAGGAAAAAATCATGCCCTCTTGCATATACATATTGTGGTATTTTAAAAGAAAATCTGATAATTTGAAAATATATTTAATATTTCATTTGCTGCAGCATGCTTTTTACAGACTGCTAATCTTTAAACTTAATTCTTCAAGTTAATTTATACAGATAGAAAATTTTAATTTAAAACATTTAGGCAATCCTTGTGAAGTTACCATTTCCATTGTTTATATATGAAATGCAAATAATCTCTTTAATGGCAAAAAAAATCTACTTTTTAAAATATTGCTGAAGATTGATACAAACAATTCTTCTGCTTTTGTTTTCTTACATTATTCCAGTCTATGGCTACAGTAGGTCTAAGACTTCAGAATGACACTGTGGTTGCCATGGATTCATATGGTTGCTACATAATGTGAACCCCTTAGCGCATCAGTTCCTGGCCAAAAGTCATGAGTGTTCCAGCCCCACTATGAAAACAAGGGTTAGTTTTTAGTGCTTACGGCAGCAGATGAGATATACAACTTCCTATTAATGTAAATCACACATCTAATCCCCTCTACTTCTGACTGAAAATTTAACTCAGCTGTCTCCTGGCTTCCGTTTAAAAACAAAGTGGCAAGCAATTGGTTCATAATACCATCTCATCATATTTTATATTTTGTGACTAGAGAAACCGTTCCATCTTGGTCCGAAGCAATTATGCTACCAGGTATCCAAAGACCATTCCCTTGAGAAATCTGTAACGTGGTAGCCCGAAAGGCAGCGGAGGAGTTAGTGTAAATATTTGCTATATAGTAGTGATGCTAAAAGAAATCCTTATGGATCAGGGGATTCAATTATTTTTTGCCCTATAAAAATGGCTGTTTTACCCTAGTACCCTTAATAGCAAAATATCAGAATATTTCATCTAGACAATAAAAATTATGGCAAAGTGTAAAAAGCAGGCCTCCATCCCAAACAAAGGGATAAAATGCTCCAGATTTTCTGGTCTTTTAGAATAGCTCCTGTTTGTACAAAAGATTAGACATGCAAACATATTTGTCCAAAGACTTGCTATTTGGCAAGACCCAGCCATAAAGAGCATGTGCAAATAGCATTTTTTGGTTATTTACAATGACATTCTGCCCATATTTTCAGAAATGTCTGTGCATATGCAATTCTGTATTCACCTGCCTTGCACACGTGTGACTAAGTGGGAATTTTCTGTAATACTTTTATGAATGATATGCCTGCCAGTGACTTACTTGACTAGGGATTGCTACCTACGGTGTGCAAAAGGGTTAAAAAGCTGCTTCTGGGGCAGAGCAGGAGACATGAGATGTTTATGTCAAGTAGCTGTCTGGAATGGTATGAATGGGTCCTTAAAGATCTGGTGGAAACCAACCTATATCAATGAAAGATCCAGAAAGACAACGGGAACCCCAGTTATTGAAAATTTGATGCCTATGCTTGGGAAACTCTAGCAGGCAGGACTTCTGAACTCAGTATGGGTCTGCAGGAGGAAGACAAAGGATGCTAGGATAATAGGTGACCTTTGGAGAGACACAGGAGCTCATCTGGGACCGCAAGACAAAGGGACAGAGAGGAAACCAAGATGGTTCCACTTGTAGCCAGCCGTATAGATTTATAGGTAAGCATAAGTATTGATTAAAGCTCGTAACACAAGTAGAGAGACCAAGATTGTAAGATAGTTAGCCAAACTGATTGAGGCCTAAAAATTTATGTTGACACAAGTAAGTAACCAATAATTGACCTTAAGTCACAAGATGCTTGCGCCATAAGATGTGCTAAGTGCTGATGGTTGTGAAGTGAGAAGCCACAAACACGGGTTACTGATATTTTAAGGAATATATGTAACTGAAAGTTAAAAGATGTGACCACAATAATGCTACAGCAATCAATTGTCAGAAATGCTAATGAGTATGATGTACATGGTTAAAGTAACCCATAGAGCAGGGGTGGCCGAACCGTAGCTTGTGAGCTGTATGGGCATTTTTACAGCTAAAGTGTGGCTTGCAGAGTCTAACAAACTGCAGAGGTGTGGAGCTTGGGGCTTCTGCCTTGTGGCAGGGTGTGGGGCAAGGCCGGGGCTTCTGCCAGAGAGAGTGGGGGGAGGGGACAATTTAAAGGTTCAGCCCCACCTAACAACTTGAGTCCTGCCCCCCCCCAGGCATGCACCCCCTCTTACTCTCAACAGCCCCTGAAGCAGCAGCAAAAGCAGTGGTTCTCCCTACAGCTCCCGGGTGTTTGCCTCAGCTTCTCCCCATGGCTGCAGCTCCGTCACCATGTGACAGAGCAGGGCCAACAAACCCTGACAAAAGATCAGGGGGTCGGGGGAGAGAGAAGAGGCATATGACCCCATACATCGTCTCTAGCTTCTGCCCACTGGGGAGGGAGACTCCGAGCTTCAGCCCCACGGGGCTTACCTGCTAGGGCTCGGGGCCTCAACAGGAGAGACTGAAGCCCTGAGAGCATCCCCCCAGGGCTGAAGCCCCAAGCCCCAGCAGGCACCTCCTGCAGGGCTGAAGTCCTGAGCCCTGGCAGGTGTGCCCCACGAGGCTCAAGTCCTGGCAGGAGCGCCCTGGCTCTTGAACTTTTTTGAACCCTAACAGGGTTTTGAACAGGGTTCAAAAAAGAACTAGATAAATTCATGGAGGTTATGTCCATCAATGGCAATTATTAGCAAGGATGGGCAGGAACGGTGTCTCTAATCTCTGTTTGCCAGAAGCTGGGAATGGGCGACAGGGGATGGATCACTTGATGATTACCTGTGCTGTTTATTCCCTTGGGGCACCTGGCACTGGCCACTGTCGGTAGACAGGATACTGGGCTAGATGGACCTTTGGTCTGACCCAGTACGGCCATTCTTATGTTAACTTCTGAAGATTGTTGTATGCGGCTCAGAGGGTCTGTAAGTTTGGCCACCCTGCTATAGAGATTGGGAACCCCAACTTGAAGTGGGGTGTGGAAGTTTAAATAAGGAAAAGGAGCTGAAACTATCATAAGTGTGCAAAGATACAGGGTGTGTCAGCATTTCACATTATAAAAGCTATATCCTGGCCCACATGTCTT